CAACTATTCCAGAAGCAACCTGAATGCGTCCAAAAAATATGACCCCAGTCGCCTGGACCCCGGCACCAATCACCGGGACTCGAGAGGCTCAAGAATTATTCCCAGGAAGATTTCGACCCTGGGCCTCGAGTTGCAAGATCAATGGGCCCCCTTCGCGAAGCCGCGAAGGGGGCCCAACTTCTTGCGGCGCTCCATCGGCCCCGGTCGAATGTCTGCAATGGGAAGCTCAGGCGAAGAGGAGGCAGCCGTGCTGCCAGCAGCGGCTGGCTCATGTGCGGCCTCATCAGCAGCGCCTTGAGCAGGCGGGGCCGCGGCTGCATGGTCACGGACTCCTCCGCCAGCAGGAGCAGCAGCAGCTCCCTCCTCCGTCGCACGACGCTTCTTGGTCGCCCTTCGAGCACGGTGAATCTAGTGAACTGCTCCAGCCTCCTTGCCAGAGTCCGCCACCTGCTGAGAAAGCTTCTGCGCGAGCTCCTGAATCACAGACACCAGGGCAGCGCGGCGGTTCTCGACATCGACCTTGTCTGACTCCTCGATGTCCACCTCGGCGGCAACCAGATCCTCGAGGAGGTCGCCAGTCGATGAAGGAGCCGATGCTGACCTTGCCTGGCACCAGGTCGCCGATTTTGACGGAGGGGACAGAGTGGGAAGGCGCTGCCTTGGCATCCTCGCCCGCCTTCTCTGCCTGCAAGTTGGCCAGGGCGTCCGTGCGATCAGTGTCAGCGGACTTGTGCTGCGCCCTGGACTCGCGCAGCACCGCCTCGAACTCAACGACTTGCTCCTTGCTGCAGATCCTTCTCCACTTTAGACTCCCAATGTTGAATATCCTTATGTGCCTTCTGCGTCGTGGCATGAGTAGACAAGAGAGGCGGATGATGCGACGATACTTCCAGATGCTTGGCGTGGTATCACATTTCCAAACTGTTGAGAAATCCCCCACTTTACCGGCCAGTTCTGATAGCTGACGAGCTTCCGCTGCGGACACACGTGGAACAGGGCCCACTGAAAGAGGCGGGGCCCCACCACCTGGACGAGTGTCTCCGAGCGCTGGTCGATCGCTTGTGAGCTGCATGGCCATGGGATGATTCCAAGAACTCCAGCTCACGTCAGCGTATACTTTGCCAGAACCTCATTTGCCTCCGAATCCCTTGCCACACTTGCCGCCTGAGATAGCACCCTCCCCGTACCCGCACTTGCCGCTGCTGTTCTGACCGTTCCAGCATCCCGGAGGCGTTGTGCTAGAAACCCAAGGACTGCCAGCAGCAGGGCCAGGAGGAATACCATGAGACAAGCGCGGCAGCGAGATATGGCAGTGCTTGCACCAAACGGTTTCGGGGGCGCTGCGCTTGCATCCGCACGAGGGGCAGGCGAAACCTGTGGCTGGCGGCGTGTCGTTCCTGCTATATTCGGTGACCCAGCCAGCATCGCCACTGCCATCAACCAAACTCTGAACTCAGGGCTGATAAGAGAAGCGAGAAGAAGGGTCTGGAACCATCAACCGCCGAAGGTACGGAGAAACTGGGAATACCGTACGCGAATCGTGATGTAAAGTGAACCTGGCACGAGCGAGGAGAAAAAAACCGTTGGGGGCCGCAAGATCCCACTCACCACTAGGTCAAGACCCTGAACGAAACGCTACGGACTGAGCCAAAATGGCTACGGACGTCCTCCTCCTCCCCATATTCCTCCTCCTCATCCTCCTCCTCATCCTCCTCCTCCTCCTCCTCCTCCTCCTCCTCCTCCTCCTCCTCTTCCTCCTCCTCCTCCTCCCCCTCCTCCTCCTCCTCCTCTTCCTGCTCCTCCTCGCCCTCCTCCTCCTCCTCCGCCTCCTGTTCCTGCTCATCCTGCTCCCCCTCCTCCTCCTCCTCAGACGTAGCCTCGGAAGGAGTTCGTCCACTCTAGCCCTCACAGGGCTCTGCTTGCTGCAAGAACTGCGATCTCGCAGCTCGAGCACAATGATGTAAAACCTCCTCGTCGATGTCATTGATCCGACGGACCGAATTGTACAAGTAAAACGCAATAATGAGCCGCTCGAGCGCTCTCAGTCTCTGGGGCTCCGTCATTTCTCGAGCGAGACCGAGGCGACGATCGAGGAAAACTTCAATGGGCTCCTGGGGCCACCACACTGAAAGCACCGCTCCCCAGAGGTACGGGCACGCCATGTAATGAGCTTGCGCGTCCACGGCGTCCGTGCATCCGAATTTACAGCGGCAGTCGGTCTGCGTCATCATCCGTTCCGTCGTCCACCCCCCCACCAGAGTTTTGATGACCGAACTTTGCCACGCGGGGGGGGAAGCTAGCCAAGCACTCACGAAGCGCAGGCCAGCTCTCCCCCGCGCGAGCCCGACGGGAAGGTGTCCGAGACGCCCACTTGGCCAAGCGCCTCCAGATGATTGGAGCAAAATCTTCTACAAAAAGAGAACTGGCCAAGGATCTGGCGAGAGTGCGCTGCACCTCGTCGAGAGCTCCGCTGCGCCCGCTGCGCCTCGTCGAGAGCTCCGAGGGCCACCGCGACCGCCGACCTCAGGGAGGCAACCCCAGAGAACCCTCGATCCGCTCTCGCCAGCTCCTGAACACACGGAGGCGACTGCCAGTGCACAGGCGACCAGACATCAGCCAACCACATCGTCATCGGGAGGGCCGACTCAGCCACCTTCTGTAGCCTGGACCAGAGCGGTCTCCAGTTCGTGACCGTGCACCTGGCTGTTCGAATCAACGCAGCCACCGACTGGGCCTGCATGGATAGAGGTCTCAGCTTCGACCAGTGACGCAATGCAAGCAATTGGTCCAGCGGCATCGAGAACGGCGGAAGATGCAAAATCTTATGCAATGCCCAGGCCTCCTCCTCCTCCTCCTCCTCCTCCTCCTCCTCCTCCTCCTCTCCTCCTCCTCCTCCCCCTCCTCCTCCTCTTCCTCCACCATATCTTCCTCCTCCTCCTCCTCCACCTCCTCCCTCTTCCTCCTCCTCCTCCTCCTCATTTTCCTCCTCCTCCTCGTACCCCGTCCCCGTACCATCATCGGCATGTTTCGCATCAACATCATCAGCGTCAACAGCAGCAGCATCATCGTCATCAGGCCCATAATCGTCAACAACAGCATCATCATCGTCCCTCATCATCATCCTCAGCATCGTCATCATCATCATCAGCAGCAGCAGCAGAATCATTAGCATCATCATCCTGTTCCTCCTCATCATCATCCCCATCATCATCAGCATCATCCTCATCCTGATAATCATCCTCATCCTCATCCTCATCATCATCCGCATCCTCCTCCTCATCCTCATCATCACCATCAGCAGCATCAGCATCATCAGCATAAACACCACAAACAGCATCATCAGCAGCAGCGGCATCATCAAAATCATCATCAGCAGCAGCAGCAGCGTCAATATCATCATTATCATCATCAGCAGCATCGCCATTCTCATCATCAGTATCATCATCATCAGCATCATCATCGTCATCGTCATCATCAACAGCAGCATCATCATCACCATCAGCATAAGTATTATCGTCATCAGCATCATCGTCATCGTCAGCCTCAGCATCATCATCACCACCACCATCGTCGTCAGCATAAACAGTAGCATCAGCATCATCATTGTCATCATCAGCAGCATCAGCATCATCCTTATCAGCATCATCATCATCATCATCATCATCATCATCATCATCATCATCATCATCATCATCATCATCATCATCATCACCATCACCATCACCATCATCAGCAACATCGTCAACATCATCAGTACCATCAGCAGCAGCAGCATCAGCAGCATGCTCATCAGCTTCATCATCAGCAGCAGCAACAGCATCAGCATCGTCATCAGCAGCAACATCATCATCATCATCATCAGCATCATCATCATCATCATCATCATCATCATCATCAGCATCAGCACCAGCATCAGCATCAGCATCATCATCAGCAGCATCATCACCATCGGGATCATCATCATCATCATGATCATCAGCAACATCAGCAGCATCGTCATCATCATCGTCATTATCATCATCGTCATCATCAGCATCATCATCAGCATCGTCATCCTCCTGTTCCTCGTCCAAATAGAGCTGCTGCTGCTAACGGTTGATGAAGGTGATACTGCAACCGCCTTTCTCCTCCTCCTCCTCTTCCTCCTCCTCTTATCCCTCCTCATCCGCGTCCCCCTCCTCCTACTATCATCGGCAGCATTCGCATCATCATCATCAGAGTCAACAGCAGCAGCAGCGTCATGAGCATCATCATCATCGTCATCTGGCAGATCATCATCATCATCATCATCATCATCATCATCATCATCATCAGCATCATCACCATCACAAGCATCATCATCATCATCATCATCATCATCATCATCATCATCATCATCATCATCATCATCATCATCATCCATCATCATCATCATCATCATCATCATCATCATCATCATCATCATCATCATCATCATCATCATCATCATCATCATCACCATCCTCATCCTCATCATAATCGCCATCGTCAGCATCATCATCATCATCATCATCATCAGCAGCATCATCATAAGTATTACCATCATCAGCAGCATCGCCATCCTCATCATCAGTATCATCATCATCATCATCATCATCATCATCATCATCATCATCATCATCATCATCATCATCATCATCCTCATCCTCATCCTCATCCTCATCATCATCGTCGCCATCAACAGCAGCACCATCATCATCATTCTCATCGCCATCGGCATCGTCATTAACCTCAACATCAGCATCATTACCATCATCAGCAGCAGCATCAGCATCATCCTTATCCACATCATCAGCATCAGCATCGGCATACCCACCATCATCACGATCACCACCATCATCACCATCACCACCATCATCATCAGCAGCAGCATCATCATCCTCATCATCATCCTCATCATCATCATCATCATCATCACCACCATCACCACCATCCTGGCCTCTCCCTTTCCTCCCCCTCCGCACCCTGACGGGCGCCGGAGCCTTGTTTCCGCTGCCCTTGGTGAGGATCTGTTTGGTGGTCTTGTACCCAGGGATCGTCTCCGCCATGGCTGGCTGTCGGGGACAGGCACGCTCTTGAGGGGGAACGTTAGGGGGGGAACTGGCTCAAGGGAGAAAGATCAAGCTTGAATCGGCGATGTATCGCACTCCAGGGCGGGTTGGGCCATCGAGCCCCATCGCCCATCGGCAATCAGCCAGCAATTGGGGGTCGATGCATCGCCCCCTGAGCCTATCCCTCCCGAACGTTGCCCTGGAGCCCTGGACAAGATGAATGCAAGAACCTATCTCGGAGCCAAACCTCAACCGCGAGCGCAGGTCTGGGCCCAGAACTCTGGCGACTCAGGGCAACAGTTCGAGCCAGACGATTGCTCGCCACTGTCGGCGTCTGGAGGCCGTCCCTAGGCGACGGTGCCGTTAGAAAATGATCCTGGCGAAGGTCCTCGGTGAACCTCTCTATGGGGCCACGACGCGCGTGACGGGTGTGCCGAAATGGGCCCGCCGTGCGGGTGCTGCCACTGGAGACGTCGGTGAAGATTCCTGTGGGGCCACGAAACGTGTGAGGGATGCGCCGACATGCAAGGTGGAACCGCATGCGGGCGCTGCCACTGGACTTTTCGATGGATCGATCACCCTGTGGAACCAAGAAATGTGTGAGGGGTGAACCGAAGTGCAGAATGGAACCGCATGCGGACCCTGCCACCGGGGCTTTGGGCGGAGCACCTCGTGGGACCACGAAACGTGTGAGGGGTGCGCCGACATGGAAGCGCACAGCATGTGGACCCTGCCGCTGGGGTCTTCGGTAAAACACACGGTTGGGCCGCGAAATTTGTGAGGGGTGCGCTGGATTGGGGGTGGAACTGCAGCCAGACCCTGCCACTGGGGTCTTCGGTGGAGCAGACTATGGGACCACGAAGCGTGTGAGGGGTGCGCCGAGATGGAAAGGGAAGTGCAGGCGGACCCTGCCACCGGGGCCTGCGGTGGAGCACCCTGAGGGGCCAAGAAACTTGTGAGGGGTGCGCCGACATGGAAGTGGACTTGCATGCGGACCCTGCCACTGGGGTCTTCGGTGGAGCACCTTATGGGGCCACAAAACGTATGAGGGATGCGCTGGACTAGGGGTGGAACTTGCCACTGTGGCCTTCGGTGAAGCACCCTATGAGACCACGGAACGTGTCGAAGACAGGGTGTTCCTGGGCATCGCCGACTACGCGTGGCACACGGCGCTGGTGGGGTACAAGCAGGTCAAATTGGGCGTGACGAAGTGGGCGTTCGAGACCCCGTCCAGCTTCGTCCCGCACTCGCCGCCGCCGCGCCGGGCGCTGACAGGGTCGTTAGGCGGCGCCGCTGCGGCCGCTTCCGGCGAGCCAGTATCCGCTCAGCAACCAGGGCCTGCAGTTGGCCCGGCAGGAGCTCCGGAGGATGCAGCAGGAGCTCAGGAGGAGCCGACGGCAGGCCGTGACGGCAGGGACATCGATGGGCTTCGAATCGATCGTCCCGATGGGGCGATCACGTGCCCTGCGCGCCACCGTGCCCATGAGGCTCACAGGCGCGATGAAACGCGCAGGCCCCCGATGGCGCCGGTCCCCGCGGGCTATCAGAGGAAACGCTACCACGGGAAGCAGCCCGCCCGCCAGAAATATTCCCAGAGAGGAGACCTCTGGGGACATCGGGCAGCCGAGGGCCGCGGCGCTAGAGGAGGAGTTCGCGGACTTCGAGCCGACCGAGCAGGGTGCGAGTGGCCATCGGGAGGAGCTGCAGTCGGCGCTGGCGGTGGCCGCCGCGACCCGCGCGACTGGGGGCGTCGCTGACGACGACGGCATAGCCGACGCGCTTCTGCCAGAATTCCGCGAGATCCTCAAAGACTCAAGCATGCAGCCTGTGACCGGCCAGGAGCTCCGACGCGCCGTGGGAGCCGAAAGACGAACGGCTCCAGGCTATGGCGGCCGAGCTGGTTGAACGCGGTGTTCGACGAGCTGCCCGCTGCGGACCGCGGCGGAGTGAGGGCCAGCCAGGTACTGCCGACGAAGGTGGTCGCAAGCACCAAGCCTCCCAAACCGGGGGACGCCCAGCAGAGGAGGAGGAAGAAGATCAGGGGCGTGGCGCGCGGGAACTTCCAGGCGAAGCAGCCCGACAAGGTCGTCTACACGCAGAACGTGGAGATTTCAAGCGTGCGCCTGGCCCTGGTTGTGGCCGCTCGGTGCAGGTGGAAGCTCCAAGCTCTCGACGCGAGCACGGCATTTCTCAACGCCCCTCTTCCCCCCGAGGCTGGTCGCATCATTGTTCGTCCTCCCAAGCTCTTCGTCGAGTTTGGTCTCGTTGGACCAGACGTGCTTGGGTAACGAGCAAGGGGATCTATGGGCTGCGAATTGCCCCCAGGGCTTGGGGTGCCAAGCGCGACAGCGACATGAGGGCAGTGCAGTTCTTGGTCGACGGTGCGCCGGCGAAGCTGGTCCAAGCAGGTGCGACCCCAGCGTCTGGACGGCGGTCGCTGCGGCGGAGCCGAAGCTGGAGTCGGACCCCCTCTTGCTCGACCTTCTTCTCGTCTACGTCGACGATTTCCTCTGCTTGGGGCCCGACAGGGCGTTGAACGAGCTCGAGTCGCTGCTCAAGGCTACCTGGAGGTGCTCGGTCTAGAGCCGGATCGGCTGGGGAGCGCCAGGAAAGGTGACCTAGCTGGGGTTGGAGATCGAGGCGCGGGTCTCCGAGCTGATCGTGCACCAGGGCCCCTTCCTGGACGACATGCTCGCCATGTGTTGCCTAGGCGATGCCAACGGCACGAACGCCATTGCGCTCAAGCCAGTTCCGCTTCCTCGCACACCAGAGGATTACGACGCCGATCCAGCAGCCGCCCGTGCGGCCCTGCAGATGGCAGGAGGTTTGCTGCGGCTTGCTACGAGGTGGCGCCCCGACGTGTCGTTCGCGACTTCGCGTCTCAGCAGCTTTGCCTGCATCAAGCGCAGTCTGCGGTACTTGATCGGCGCTCGTGGCTTCGCCCTGGTGATCGGATGGGGCCCCGACGACCCGAGTGCCGGCTGCGCCGAGATGACCTCCCTCAGCTTGGACGGGACTTGTTCGCGGACGCGTGGCGGTTTTCTGCGGTGGCGCGTTGATCGACTGGCGGGGCCAGAAGCAGACGCAGGTGGCCAGCAGCACCGCCGAAGCAGAAATCACTGCCTTGAAGACATGGGTGTCACGATGCCGGAGGGCGCGGAGGCGACCATGTCCAGCATCGCAGTCGGCACATGTGGCTCTACGCCAATGCTCTGGGGCGACAACGCTGCCAGCGTGCTCATCGCCGAGGGGCAGGGCAGCTGGCGCGCGAATGCACTGGCTAATCTAGCCGTAGCGATGCGCGGCTGGGAAGGCATGTGGACGCTGCTGCTCAAGGTCTGCTCGGAGGAGCAGTGGGCCGACGGCTTGACCAAAGTGTTCGCTGCCGCCGTGATGGGCCGCATCCGCACCCACTTCGGCCTGCAGCTGATTGTCGAGCTGCTGGGCCGTGCCGCGGCTGCCGCGGGTGCGCGCCTCCTGCAGCCCACTGCATGGCGAGGGGATCAGCGAGCATCATTGATCGCCTCTGTCATTGATTTGAACTCTCGGTTTCGATCCTCCTGTTGGGGACTAGCCACAAGGATTGAACGTGCCCGAGTCCGGGACCCTTGCCGACTTTTCTGCGTAGGCACCCTCATTGCATGTTTTCCGTCGCTGCGCGATTGCATTATCGAGCGTTGCCGATTCCCCCCGTGCCCCTGCGAGCCATCTGTCTCGAAGCTTCGGCCAGTTCTGGCAGGGAGAGCCGAAGACGAGGAGCGTGGGACAGAGGAGCATCGGCTAAGCATCGGCATGAGTAGTCAGAGACGGTTCGGAGACCTCTGCCTTGGAGGGGCGGCGGGCGGACGAATCGCACCACCCCCGCCCCAAATCTGACTTCGGATTTCCGGTGAAGATTACGTATACCAGACCTGGTAGAACAGCGCAAAAGTCCAGAAAACGTTTCCCAGTTTTCCCGCGTCGACTTTGCAGAGTAACGGTATGGACTCGTCTTGGATTTTCGGCAGTGCGCACAAACGCTCCGGCAGAGCCCTGCGCCGGAACGCGCTGGCGTCCACCACTGCCGTACTGCGCGGCGCGCGAGGCACAGCAAAAAATGGCGCATAGCGCATAGGCCACGAGGCCGGGACAGGCACGGCGATATACTTGCCACCGCTGCGTTGCATCGACTTCTGTGTGCGCCAGAGCTGCCACCGTTTCGATTGCCACAGCGTGCCGTCTTAGTGTCGCGGGGGTGGTGGCAACGCCACTCTTGCGAAGCGTCGCGGAAGCGGTGGCGACGCCACTCCAGCGAGGCAAGCTTGCGTCCGGAAACTTTGGCCCAAGGTGCGAGTCACGAGGAAAAATGGTTCACGCGCTGACTGAGGAAGAACGGCTTTTCTTGTCCGCGTCGCCACCAGCGCGGCCGCACTCCTTTCCCTCCACCTCGGCATCCCGCTTAACCCTGACACCTCACACCATTTCCCCTTCACCACATCAGTGCCACTACAGATATTGACTCTCCAGGCTGAGGGTGCTGACACACAAGAGCTGTTAAATAGTTTCGGAGAGGGGGTAGAATTGTAGAGAACACGAACATGATTGAACGCTTTTGGGGCGCAAGGCGAGCCTGGGCTCCCCTTTCCAAAGGAGCGGGGGGCTTCCGACTCCCCCCCCTCCCCTCCTTCTGCTGGCATTTCCAAGTGGAGGGCCCTGGCTGGAGGGGGGAAGGCTTCGAAGCTACCAATTTTCCTCTTTGGTTTTCGGCGCTGGTTTGGTTCTCAGCGTCCTTGTGGTTTTCGGCACTCCTTCGGTTTTCGAAGTGCCGTTAGTTTCGGGCCTTCGCTTTGACCCCTCCCCTGTCGGGGATGGAGAGAGGGGGGTCCTGGAGGGGGGTCCTGGGCAAGACACGCACCTGCCGCCGCGCATTCTGCGGCCCCTCTGGGGCCCCGGGGCCGCAACGAAATAGCAAGACAAGCCAAGTGCCCCAAGAGGCCCCCAAGACAATCCGATAGAGTCACGAATCGCAAGAAGATCGCTTCCTTCCAGACTTCCCAGGCAACCTCCAAGACGGCCCAACAAGCCTCCAGACGGCCCCAAGGGAGAAAGCCCATTGATTTTCCTCCGGTTTCCATGATCGAGAATGCGTGTGGGTTGCCATTCCAAGCAAAACTTCGTATGTCGGTGGAGAGCGGGTCATCAGCACAGGAGTGGAGGGCATGGATCTCATCACAGATTTCGGGGCTGGGGTGATTTTCTTCGTTGCGACG